TTGCAGCTGGTGTTTGGGTAGAGCTGTCTGCGCCGCGGACGCCGGCAGAACCTGGCAGAGAGGAGCGGTGGACGTGCAGCTTGGAGTCACCAAAGTGATGCCTAAGCAGTTTTGCCCATCTCCTAAGGTCGGGGTTCCATGTTGATCAGCAACCACAAACCAGTCGAGGATATTTTAGGGTATTTGTTAGGAAATATATGTTAACTAACAGTACAGGATAAACCGCAGAGCACCATGGCAACTCACTCATGGAAATGCTAATAACTGGGACGTAAGGTGGGTGATTAACCTATCAAAAGCAGAACCCTAACATTAAGTTGGGTGCAGATCTATGCAGAGAAAAATGAAGCGTTCCCACCGTGAACATGCACAAAAGCAGTGAGGCATTCGCAGCTGCAGCCCTGGCAGGGTCTCTGGGCAGGGGGTAGTGGAGCGTGGCCCCTGCTGCTGCCCCTCTGCCCCCCCCCCCCCCCGCGCCAGCAGTGGGGTGGGGGGCGATCGTGCTTCTCTCCTTCCCTTTGTTGGAGCGTAGCTGTATTGTTTGGCTTGGCTTTGCAACGTGAGTTATAAATAAAAATGCCTCACCAAGAGTGCGTGACTCATGGTCCTCACCACAAGGATAACCTCTCTGCTAGGAAACCTGATCCGAGGACCGAACTGCAGCATGCAAGAATGGAAGACATTGCTTAATTAACATATTTAATCCAAACAGCAAGCAGACGAACCCCTCACCCCACCTGGGCTGGGGTGGGCTGCTGGGGAAGATGTCTGTGCCTCTCCGGACTCCTGTCCTGTGAAATCCCTGACTGACAGCCCAGCCCTCGACCTGCTCCAGGGCCCAGTGGTTTCCCTGGAACAGCAGCAGGGAGCTGACGTGGCCTCGAGCAGCTCCAGGCTCGGTATTACATCCTGCCACCCTCCGAGGGGGCAGCTCGTGGGTGCTGGTGTCGCCTCATCCTGCTCGGGCAGGGTGGGACGTGGGGACGTGCTGCGGCATCAGCCCTGCGCACTGGGGCATGGCAGCGGCCCCCTTCGGGAGCCAGGGCTGCAGCGCTTCTCTCGGGATCGCAGGCCGGCTGCACGGCTCCATCCCACCGTCAGGCTCTGCCCATGGTGCCTGGGCACCGCATCCTCCCGCTGCGCTGCCATCCCTGAGCCGGAGCCTGGCCCCGTGGGGAGAGGGACGCCCT